CGTTGGAGTGAAACAAAAGGACAGAGGACCCTTCTCCACGCCAGCGTTGGAGTGAAACAAAAGGACAGAGCCCAGGAAGGTCTGCGCAGCCTTCCTTCTTGCCCCACTGGCCTCTCCACCAACTCTGCCCACGGCCAGGGTCCTGGAGGACTGCACCTGAGTGTTACCTTGGAGTAAAGCCTACTGTTGGCTGTGTCCTCGTTGGCCAGGCCGAGGTCCTTGGCTTTCAAAAACTCTTTAAAGGAGAAGGGGTTCGCCTCCTCAGGTTCTTCTAGCTCATCACCTGAAATGAGCACAGGCACCCTGATTCTGCTGGAAGCCAAGGCCATCACAAGGACATGCCCACCTGAGACTGGGAACAAACGGGGCACACTGACGGGGGTGGACGAGACCCAGCACCACATCCACATTCCAGACCCTTCCCTCCTCAGGCCCCTTGGCGCCACACAGAGCTCCAAGACCTAGAGTCTTTAAAGCTGGACTTGGCCCTGTCCCCGCCCCCCACGGTGAGTGAGCAGACTGCTCTCGTGGGTGTGGGGCCACCTGCGGGCGGGATTCTCAGTGCCTCAGCTGTGCACGTCAGACACTCGCTGCTGGTCATCATTCTTTCTGGCCAGCTGCCCGAGACAGCCCTCCTCCAACACCTCCACATTCTCGTGACCTGACCACAGCCCCTCGGTGCCTGGAGGTTTTCCTGATTCCGCCACATACCAAGGACTGTGCTTAGTCACCTCGGGGTGACAGAGCCCCAGGGGCCTCAGCCTCTCCAGCTCCACACCTGAGGGTGAGTGAACCCCGTGTACCCCGGCCCCTGCGGCTCCACACCGGAGGGTGACTGGACCCCGTGGGCCTGAGCCCCACCCCACCTGACAGCCCAGGGTCTGCACCACCAGCCTCAGCTTCTCCTGCCCTCGCAGCCCTTCCCTGCTCCTCCTGGCTCCAGGTACACCTCCTGTCCCCTCTCAAACATGCCCCCCCCCACCTTGCAGGTGCTTTGCTCTGCGGCTGCAGGGAGAAAGGGTCACTGAGCGACTATACCTGCAAAGCGCGTCTCATGGGCTCCTGATGGACCGTCCTTAGCGCCTTTTCCCTTTCCGTAGCCAAAGTCTGTAAAGAGACGTCACCATCGCCATGGTCCTGGGAACCCTGTGCTCCTTGCTCGCTGGGTCTTTCTGACAGGGAGTTTCTATCGCAGCAGTCCTTGTTGTCTGGGGGACCGTGACTTCCACTGGAGTGGGGGGCCCTGGTCCCTGTGATTCCAGCCTGAGTCATGTGCTACCAACAGCCTCAAAGCTGTTGCTGTTGGGTCTATTCCAACTCTAGCAACCCCAGATGTTAGACAGCTGTGCCTTTCAGGGTTCTCAGTGGTTGTACTCTTCCATGGCACTGCTGGGCAGGTCCCACCATCAACTTCCAGGTGAGTAACTGAGCTCATAGCGTTTACAACACCAAGGGACCTACCCGTAAAAACCTGTTGTGTCAAGTTCATTCTAATTCATAGTGACCCTATAGGGCAGAATGAAATCGCCCCCAAAGTTTCCAAGGCTGTAGTCTTTATGGAAGCAGATAGCTAGGTCTTTCCTACACAGAACAGCTGGTGGGTTTGATCTGCTGACCTTCTGGTCAGCAGCCAGGTGCTTAACCACTACACCACCACGGCTCCTTCACGGACCTACCTGTAAACCTGTTCCCATTGAGTCGATTCAGACTCACAGTGCCCCTAGGCAGAGTGGAACTGTCCCAGAAGGTTTCCAAGGCTGTCATCTTTACAGAAGGAGCTCTGGTGGTATAGTTCTTACGGTACTTGACTGCTACCCAGAAAGCTGGCGGTTCAAACCCACCAGCCACTCCTCAGAAACAAGGTTGGGCAATCTACCTCTATAGTGATACCGCCTCAGAAACCCAAGGAGGGGTCTCTATGAGTCGGGTTCAACTTGTCGACAGTGAGTTTAATGTTTACACAAGCAAAACCCAAACCTACTCGACCTCCACTGAGTTGATTCCGACGCACGGCACCCCTAGAGGACAGAGTGGAACTGTCCCAGAGGGTTTCCAAGGCTGTGAGCTTTAAGGAACATCACTGCCTTATCTTTCCTTCACGGGTCTGAACTGCTGAACCAGGCTGCCTCATCTTCCTCCTGGCAGAGCAACTGGTAGGTTCAAACCACCAACCTTTTAGTTAGCCACCAAACGCTTGAACCACTGCGCCACCAGAGCTCCTTTCAGGGCCCTCCAGGGCCTCTCCGTGCCGCGCTGGGCAGCGTGGTTTTGGGTAGAACATGGGTGGCTTGGATCTGCTCGGACCCAAGGCTCCCCTTCACTTGTCCCGCCGAGCACACCTTTGTGCCAGCACTGTACTGGCACTGCCTGGGTTGGCCTCCCCAAGACTAGGCCGTGAGCTCCCGGCAGGTGGGGCTGCCCTCCACCCGCACCTCCAGCGCCTGGCACACAGGGGTGACCGGACGCATTGTCCAGCTGGCTGACGGACTAACGCTCTAACGCAGGGACCTGCTGGCAGTGCCCTCGTCTCTCACCTGTGTCTCCCACGGAAGCTAGCACCGGACTGGGCACATAACACATAAACGTCGGCCGAATGCCTAAGAAGTGGGAGTCCGGGTCCCTGCCACTGGGGCGCTCACAGTCTAGCTGGGGGAGACAACACCGGCGCTCAAAGAACGCTGGAACTGAAAACAACAACAAGAGCCACTCGCTGGGCGCCGCGCAGGCGCTCGGCGAGGCGAGGCTCACCTGCAGCTCGGTCCCGGGCGGCGGGCCGCCAAGAGGGCGCCCACCGCACGGAAGGACGCGCGGGCTGGGGCTCGAACCCACGCCCAGCCTCTCCCGGGCTTCCGCTCGCCCCCCTTACCGTCCGGAATGACGAGGCTGCGGGCTCGGGACAGCGGGGTGATGCCCGGGCGGCGCGCGTAGCCCGCCATCCTCGCGGGCCTGGCGGGGCTGGATCTCGCTAGCCCGGCAGCGGCGGCTCCATGGCCTCGGCCCCGCCTGGGCCGCAGCCCGGCTCGCCCGCCCCAGTCGCCTGCCGAGCGGCCGCCAGCGAAGCTCCGTCGAACTTCTCGCCGCGGCTTCCGCCCCGACCACCGGAAGCGCGCGCCGGATTCGCGCTGGCCGACGCAGGGGCGGGCCGCCGTGGGCGGAAGCGGAAATGACGCCAGAAGCGGTGGGCGGAGACACAAGATGGCTGCAATGGTGCTGGCAGCAACGCGGTTACTGCGAGGGTCGGGCTCTTGGGGTCGCTCGCGGCTGAGGTGAGCCGACGGCGAGCCAGGGGTCGGATGGGCAGTGCGAGTTCTCCCAGAGGCTCTGTCTCAGGTTTTCCGTCGCCCAGAGTCGAGGCCGATTGGACAGGCTTGGACTTGGCGACACCTGCTTGGTCCCCGAGGTGTCGGCGGTGCCCCACTGCCTCGCGCCTCGAGCCCGGGCCACGAGGCCAATCCGCCCCTTTTCTCCCCGACTCCTGGGTGCCCTCTGTCCTTCCCCTCTCCGGCCGACGGGACCCGGAGAGCCAGGATTCTGTCTGAAACTAGGGCCTGTGCCCTGGGCGGCTTTGCTATGTGCCACTGCCTGCTGGTACCCGATCTCTGAGCGCTGCCTGCCCCCACCGCTCCTCCTTCCCTTCCGCTTGCGCGCTGGCACGGTCTTTCAGGCAGCAAATGCGTGTTGAGCACCTGCTGTATGCCCAGCACTGTGCAAGGCGCGGGGATAGGCTAGCTTGAACAGCGCTCAGCATATAAAGAGAAAAGGGAAATTCACTGCAGGATGTAAGTGTTTCAGAGAAAGAAAGCAAGGTTCAGGGACGGCAGTTAACGGGAGACCCGAACCCTAGACTGCAGACAGTGATTTAACTTGGAGGTGAAGCGTTGGGGGTGGGCAGCAAGGCAGACCTGGAGCCCTCAGGGAATTGACCAGAAGGCCAGTGGGAAGGGAAGTGAGGGTGGGGCTGGAGTTGGGTTTGGAGATGAAGAGGAGACAAACCCTTTAGAAAGGAGGTCTTTTTTTTTTTTTTTATTGTGATTTGGGTGAAGATTTACAGAGCAAATTCATTTTCCATACAGCAGTTCACGTATACTTTGTCTCATGACATTGACCACAGTTTACCACAACACAACAGCTCCCCTCCCACCTCCTCCCCATTGTTACCTCTTCCCAGTGTCCATCCCTCCATGCACTCCTGCCCCCTGAGCTGTCTCCCTGTGTAGAAAGGAGATCTTAAAAGATAAGGGGCAGTCATCCCAGGGTCAGTGAAGTTGGTTTGAACTGGGCTGATGTCTCTGCTGTAGGTCTGGACCCGCCGCACACAGGCAGTTCAGTAGCAGTGGCGCCTATCCCAGCATCCCTCTCTCCTCCCCCTTACCCGGCGTACCCAAGCCTGTTTTTGCTACAGTCGACGACCAGGAGAAGTTTGAAACCAAAATTACCACACTGGAAAACGGGCTTCACGTGGCATCCCAAAATAAGTTTGGGCAGTTCTGTACTGTAGGCAGTAAGTACTGGTGGTATGTCCGGTGGTCTCCCTCGTTTTAACCCACACGTGCTGCTTTGGGTGCAGTTGTAGCTGGCACATCAGTTAGGAGTTGCACTCTGAGCAGAAGCACGTAGTACGATCTGAAAAGTTTCATGACCAAAATGTGAACGATGCTCATTTTTGGTGGTGGGGTTGGCCCTTTTTCTGCAATCGTAAGAACTTTCTGCCCCAAACGTATCTGTTATTTTTATTAACGGGAAATGTAAACATGGAGTCTTAAGAGCTGTGTTGTGGCGTGACTGGTGTGCGGTAGACTGCACGCGTCGTCCAGTGTCCAGCGTAAGGTGCCAGTGAGACCATTATCACTGCTGCGGCAAGCCCGTGGGAGGAGGGCCCGGAGAAAGCCTGAGCCACAACCTGGAGGGTTCTCTAGGTGCTTGCTGTTTTGACAGGTTGATGTCACCTGTCACCTTTCATTTCCAGTTCTGATCAACTCAGGATCAAGATACGAAGCAAAATACCCCAGTGGAATTGCTCACTTTTTGGAAAAATTGGCATTTTCGGTGAGTGGCCAGTTTGTTGAGGCTGTACTTGAGAAGGGTCCCATGTTGTCTCACCCCCCCCCCTTTTCTTTTGGAGGCAGATCTGAGTTTAACAACTGATTGAGCTGCTGAGTTAGTGCAAAGGAAAGACTTTTGTGTTAAAGAGTTTGTTTTCGTGCATGTTGAAAGTGAAGTGAACGTTCTCGCTCCTGACTTTGGGCTGCACCCTTGGTGGCAGTTCTCCAGGCTCACTGCATTCTCCTCTCTCCGACTCCCCAGTCCACCGCTCGGTTTAGCAGCAAAGATGAGATCCTTCTTACCTTGGAAAAGCACGGAGGCATCTGCGACTGCCAGACATCAAGGTAACAGCTGTTCCCAGTGAGCTGTGGCCTGGACGGGCTGAGCAGAAGTGGGTGGGCAGAATCCCCAGGGTGTGGCACTTGTGTCGGAGGGCGGGCTGTTCCCCGTCAGGTTGGTGGCTGCAGCTGGCACTGGAGACGGGTAGCAGGTCCTGCTCCCAAGATGGTTGCAGATGGGACTGAGGGTCGCACCCCTGGGGCGATCATGAACACGAGGGTGTCTGGGTCAGGGACATGCACTTGACCCTGTGTGGAGTGGGAAAGGGAGTAATAGGAGACAAGGTTGGAGCTGGTGCTGGAGGGGCTTGCAGACAGGAAGAGGCCGTGGGAGCAGCAGGTGCAGTGGCTCGGGCTGGACAAGGCAGGGCTCGGGCTAGAGCGGTAAGGGGTCTGATGAGCTGGAGCACGGGCGGGCAGGTTGAGGGAGGGAGGTCGGTCTCTGTGTGGGGGCAGCGTGTTCCCGTGGCAGACAAGGTCTGTTCACAGCCCCTGGCTCCCGGCTGCTCGTGAGTCAAATCCAAACTCTGGTCTCACTGCTCAGGCCCCTAGTTCTGGCCCCAAGAGACGCCTCTAGCCCCTGCCCCCCAGCACCTTTGTGCTGGGCTCACTCAGCTCCAGTGTGCACCCCTGCTTTCTTGAGCCCCTTGGGGCCCTCACAGCTGCTTTCTTCACAATAGTAGGTCCTACTAGGACCCTGGGCGGTCACTCCCTGCCTCCAGGGCCTGCTCTGTGGCAGGTGGCACCGGGGTCATACTCAGAACTAGACGTGCCTTCCCTGACAGCTCAGCTGTGAGCAGATCACGCGGTGCTGGTGCTGTGGGTCAGCGCTCTGCAGCTAGGGAACTCGTTCCTGCAGAGCCGTGTCTGCCTGCGCCACCCAGGGCCAGCACGCCGCCACGTCATTCGCTCAGGATTAACGACCCTCAGCTCGGGACTGTGCATCTCTCCTCCCAAGTCCACCTGTGTGCGCCGACCGTCCCAGCTGCTGGCTGGCAGGGCTGGTCCTTCCGAGTGACGAGACCCCCACAGGCACGCGGCTGGAGCAGGACTCGAGACGGAGGACCTGGCTGCTCTAGCTGAGCTCAGTGCTGGCGCTCTCTTCCCTTTCAGGGACACCACCATGTACGCTGTGTCTGCTGACACCAGGGGCTTGGACACTGTGGTGGGTGTGCTGGCGGATGCAGTCCTGCAGCCCAGGCTGACAGGTGCAGGCATGGCCCGGGGGGGTGGTGAGGATGGTGGGTGGGGGTGCTGCATGTGTGAGCAGGGACCACGGTGTGGAGATCTGGGTTTGCTGACGATGGAGACCCAGTGAGGAAACAGTGCTGACGGTGAGAACTCCCTCCCTTCGTGGAGAGCACCTCCCTGTGGCCTCTGACGCTCCTGGGAGGTTGGTCTGCTGCGCCCCGGCTTGAGCTGTTCTACGATGGTGGGGTATCTGGTCCCCGGCGGGAGTGTCCCCGCTGGGCTCGTGGAGACTGGCCGGGTGCTTGGCAGCCGCATGGCATCAGCCCCGATGGGACTTGGTGTTGCCGCGTGAAGTGTCCCCCATCATCTGTGGCGCCGTTTAAGCATCTGAGTGTCGCTATCGTGACCTCGCAGCAGCACTGGGACGGATGTGTGTGGCCCCTCTGGTGCCTTTCAGAGGCAGACGCTGAGGCTCAGAGTAGCCTGGAGCACTGCACGGCAGAGCTGGGCCAGCGGGCTGACTCCCCAGGTCCCTGGGGCCGCAATGCCCCGGCCGTGCTTGGACCCAGAAACCAGTCGGTGGCAGTGCAGCACACTGAGCCTTGCCTGGCACCAGGGTCCACACGCCCCTTGACTCTGGGGTGCGGACTGAGCTGTGCCCTCGGCTTTCTTTGCAGATGACGAGATGGAGATGACGCGGATGGCCGTGCAGTTTGAGCTGGAGGACCTCAACATGAGGCCGGACCCAGAGCCGCTGCTCACCGAGATGATTCACGAAGTGAGAGACACGTGGGCCCCCAGCTGTGGGCAGTAACTGGACGGGCTGTTTGCCCCCAGTGGCGTTCTCGTAGCTTACAGGTGCTCACGGGCTATTCTGAATCCCAAGCTTGCTGCTTATATAAGCTTGGAAGTTAAGAGGCTGTTTTCCCTGGTAGCGTAAAGGATAAGGTATTTGGCTGCTAACCAGAAGGTCAGTGGTTTAAACCCACCAGCTACTGTATAGGAGCAAGATGGGGCACTTTACTTCTGTAAAGATTTACAGCCTTGGAAACTCACCATGGGTTGCTGTGAGTCACAGATGACTCAACGGCAGTGGGTTTGGTTTTGGGTTTGTGGTGTCTTTATTTCTTACTGTAGAGTAACCTTTTGTTTTATCCTTTTTTTGTGAATTTTCATCCTGGGGAGGTTGTTGTTAGTGTCCAACAAGTTAGTTCTGGAGAGGTGGGTTCTTAAGAGTTTCCACTGACACGTGACTCTACACCTGCTGAGCTGTAAGGAGAGGACAGGCTGAGTAGGATCTGTCTCAGAGGCCTGACTGTCACTGAGGACACAGGGTCGTGTTTTTTGCAGTCACTCGTGTTTATCTTGAACCCCCCTTAGGCTGCTTACCGGGAAAACACAGTGGGCCTGCACCGCTTCTGCCCTCCAGAAAACATAGCGAGGATCGACAGGGAGGTCCTGCACTCCTACCTGCGGAATTACTACACACCTGACCGCATGGTGCTGGCTGGGGTGGGCGTCGAACACGACCACCTGGTGGGCTGTGCCCGGAAGCACCTCCTGGGCGCCCAGCCAGCCTGGGGGCACCAGGGGGCCGTGGATGTCGACAGATCGGTGGCACAGTACACTGGGGGCATCGTCAAGGTAACGTGTGGTGGGGAGCCTTGGGCCCAGGCACGGCCTCTGCTACTTTCTGTCTCGGGTGCATTTCTGCGTTTATTCTAAGGCCTTAAACGTTCCTGGTGCACTGCTCGCTTTATGTGGGCACTTCTTAACATTTGCGCTCAGCACAGGTCATGTCCATGTCTGCAGGGCCGCAGTGCAGGCTGTGTGTCCATGCCCATAGGGCTGTGGGGGTGGGTTGTGTGTCCATGTCTGCAGGGCTGCAGGAGTGGGCTGTGGGTCCTTGGCCACAGGGCCATGGGTGCTTTGTGTCCGTGTCTGTGGGGCCAAGGGGGTGGGTTGGGTATCCCTGTCCACAGGGCCGTAGAGGGGCTTTGCATCCGTGTCCACAGGGCCATGGGGATAGGCTGCGTGTCCCTGTCTGCAGGACCATGGAGACAGGCTGCATGTCCCGGGCTGCAGGGGTGGGCTGTGTGTCAGTGGGGTATTAGGATGACCCCACCTCAGGCCACTACTGCCATCTGCAGAGGGTTCCTGTCTGACCGTGAGCCGTGCTGGTTGTGGAGCTCACAGCCTATCTCGCTCACTTGGGCCACACGCATTTCTTATTCCCCACAGCTGGAACGAGACATGTCCAACGCCAGCCTGGGCCCCACCCCAATCCCGGAGCTCACGCATGTCATGGTGGGCCTGGAGAGCTGCTCCTTTCTGGTGAGCACTGGGTGTTGGGTGCGATGGCAGCCTGCCATGGTGTCGGGCAGGGCTGGGCTCCTGCTAAGGTTGCCCCTCGCCTCCTGCAGGAGGACGACTTCATCCCCTTCGCGGTGCTGAACATGATGATGGGTGGCGGCGGCTCCTTCTCTGCCGGCGGGCCCGGCAAGGGCATGTTCACCAGGCTCTACCTTAACGTGCTCAACAGGTGGGGAGCGGCCTCTCGGGCCGGGCTGTGTGACTCCAAGCCCCATGAGTGACCACCTCAGTGCCCTGTCTTCCCTCCAGGCACCACTGGATGTACAACGCCACGTCCTATCACCACAGCTACGAGGACACAGGCCTTCTGTGCATCCATGCCAGTGCGGACCCTCGGCAGGTGAGCGGCCCCCCACCCGACTCAGCTGTGGGCCTCGGCACGACCATGGCTCTGCTGCAGCTCATGCCCCCAGAGCAGGGGCTGCTCTCGGCTTGTTCAGAAAGCCACCCCGCGCCTCAGTTCCTGGGCTGAGACGCCAGGCTCGGTCTCAGACCGTGTGCCTTACCCGCACACACTTTCTGGCAGGTTCGCGAAATGGTGGAGATCATCACCAAAGAGTTTATTTTGATGGGTGGCACTGTGGATGCGGTGAGTAATACGGGCTACTCTGCATGCTTCTGTGTCGCCGATAGGTGGAGGGTGCTTAGTGGGTGCTGCTGCAACGCGGGGGGGTACACGCTGGCCCAGCCTCTGCTGCAGCCCCAGGTGGCAGCCAGGACAATGTGCCGCAGCAGCACAGCACATGGCTGACCCGTCCCTCCTGGCGCTGCTCTGGGCATGTCTGTCTGCTCTCCTCCTGGGCCCGTCTGTCTGCTCTCCTCCCGCACTCGTCTTTGCTGAATGACGAAGCCGCCGCCTGCAAGGCCTGGTGGTGGATCCCAGCAGCATCTCCTGTGAGTGCCAGCCACTGTTCGTCATGGTTTGTGGCTGGACTGCAGCAGCAGTGAGTGTAGTCCCGGCTTCGCCATCTGTCTGGGCCTAGGTGCCTGTGTTTACTCATTTCTTAGTGTTTGGTGCCTCCCTAGGCCAGGCAGATAGATGAGTTACACCCACTGCATGTTCCTAAAACTGTACGGGGGCAGCCGCATCCTCCTCTGACTTCACACGGGAAGACGGACTCACCATCAGCCACCCAAGGCTGATTCCTATGAGGAGAAGCCAGACATGCTGCCACCCTCCAGCCCTTTTACCAACTCCGGCACCACCCATCCCACCCACAGCACTCACTATTTCTCTGCTGGGTTCAGTAATTCATTGCAGTGATCATGCAGAACTGACAGACAACTCTTACAATTACGTGGTATATTAGAGAAGTAACAGGCTATAATTCAGGTTCAAGAATGCTTAGGATACAGTTCTTAAGTCAGGACTGTCTCTCCTTGGCATGCCCAAAAGTACATTTCTCTCTGGCCCTTGGCCTCTCGGCCTGGCCTCTGCCCTGCTTGGGCAAGGGTCAGAAAGCTTTTCTGACTCTGCCGATAGGTATACCTACGTGCACCCCACTCAGGCAGCAAGCCTCCTGCCCAAAGGCACTCAGCTTTCTTGCTCTGTGGGCTGGCAAGCCTGCTGCTCTGTCTTGTGCTGGCCTCTCGGTTCTGCTGCTGCAGTCTCTGCTGTCATCTCGGCATAGGAATTTTGAATGCTTTTTGTGTGAAGTTGCACAAGGTAACAGCTGTCTTAAGGCAGGAGCTGGTTGGTGTCTGAGTAGCAGCATGTCAGGCCCGCTTGACAGGCAAGCATTGGCCACCCCAGGCCCGCTGGTACTGTTTCTCACCCGCTCCTCTCTGAACCCCACTGGAGTGAGCTTCGAGAGAGAGTTCTCTGGGACCCTGAGGTTTTCATTGGCAGTCTGGTCAGAGGCTTGTGCGGTGTTGCTCCTGGGGTTGGGGGGGAGCCCCAGGGGCTGAATGGGATTAGCTTCCTGGTGATTTTGCAGCTGAGGAGTTCGGTGTGTCCCGTTTCAAACAGTAGGACTTTGTCTATCACATCTGGTGAAGGCCTGGGGGTACAAAGACAGGAGTGCTGGCCAGCTAGCCAGCTTGCTTCCTGTGGGAGTTAGATTGTGTGTCAGCTGGGCTGGGCTGTGGATCTGAGAGGCTGGGCAGCTGGAGGTAGTTAAGCCCCTGATGGGATTGTAATTATTTCCATGATAGAGTCTGTGGTGAGCACCGGATCAGCTGAAAGGGTGTTACCTTTGGGGTGTAGCCTGTTTGTAGTGTATAAAGAGGATTCAAGAAAGGACTCTAGCTTTAGAGGCCATTTTGGGTCCTGCGTTTGGAGTCTTCATCTCTAGTTCCTGGACTTGAGTCACTGGCCTGCCGTGTTGCTTGTTGATCTTGGGACTATTCCATTTTACCTGCTGACCTTGGTTCGTCAGCCTTAGCAGCTACGTAAGTTAGGAGATGGCCTCTAACTCCAGTGGGCCTGGAATAGGAGGCCCAAGACAGAGAGGCCTTCCCCCAGCCCCTCGAGCCGGTATTCTGAGTTCAGACGTCTAGCCTCCTAAACTCAGAGAATCAATTCTACCTGCTCATGGCACGCCTGCTGTAGGAGCACTACAGAACCCAGACACGTCCCTTTCAGCATTGGGTAAACGGAGGGGCTCTCCTAGGATGCTGCATTGTCACCACCAGCTGAACACGTCTGCAGCTGGCCTTGGTGATGCATCCAGCATCGGTCGTGGGGAAAGCTCTGACCTTGGCTTTGAACAACCGACCCTCAGGTGGAGCTGGAACGAGCCAAGACCCAGCTCATGTCCATGCTTATGATGAACCTGGAGGCCCGGCCCGTGATCTTTGAGGACGTCGGGAGGCAGGTGCTGGCGACCCGGTCTAGGAAGCTGCCCCATGAGTTGTGCAGCCTCATCTGTGAGTCGGGCCGCTGTGTGCTGGGGGCAGCTCCCATGTGGGCAGTCACTGCCAGAAACTCACGTTCTCCACCAGGCTTCCTGTGGTGGGAGGTAGCAGTGCCTGCGGAGGGCATCTTCCCTGACCAGTCTCTGCTCCACCAGGTCATGTGACGGCAGAGGACATCAGGAGAGTGGCTTCTAAGATGCTCCGCGGGAAGCCTGCCGTGGCTGCGCTGGGTGACCTCAGTGACCTGCCGACATACGAGCACATCCAGGCAGCCCTGTCCAGCCGCGACGGGCGCCTGCCAAGGACCTACCGGCTCTTCCGGTAGTGGCCCAAGACGGGCTTGCGGGTAGCCGCGGGGCGTCACTGCCTTTCTTGAGGGCTTGACTGAGGGCAGATGTGGTCTGAGCTCACAGATGGCGCCAACTGCAGACTCTGCTCCCAAAACAGCACCCCTCCCCGTCGCCCATCACCCAGTTCCCAAAGACCAGCACCTGCTCCCCGCTGCCCACTGCCCAGCTCTCGAAGAACGGAGCCTTCTCCCTCCTGCCCGGCTTTCAAGAACCAGCACCCCTCCCCGTTGCCCATCACCCA